TTTTTTTTTTTTACTTTTAAAAGCATTTTTTTTGGCCAAAGTTGTAGAAAAAATGCTTTTAAAAGTAAAAAAAAAAAAAGCCTCTGATGATCGTGCAACTCGTCAAAGGCATTTAAAAGAAAAAAAATCCTTGTTTTCTTTTAAATGCTCTGATGATCCCAGCGGAGTTCCCTGATCGGCAGGGGCTTTTTAAAAAAGCCTCTGCCGATCAGGGAACTCAGCTTGGATCCTCAGAGCCTTTTGAAAACATTTTTTTACAACCTCTTAGCCGAAGAGGTTGTAGAAAAAATGGTTTTAAAAGTAAAAAAAAAAAAATTGGCCATGCCCACCCAGTCACATTACCCCCCTCCACCAAGCCACGCCCACAGAACCGGTAGTAACATATTTTAGATTTCACCCCTGAAAAGGAGGCATGCGGTAAGTAGAACAGCGCACGAGGGGGGGGTCAGCTGTGGCGCACAATTTTTTTTTTTTACTTTTAAAAGCATTTTCTTTTAAAAGGAAATAAAAAGCCTCTGAGGATCAGACAACTCAGCTGGGATTGACAGAGCCTTTTAAAAGCATCTTTTAAACAACCTCTTCGGCCAAAAAGGTTGTAGAAAAAAATGCTTTTAAAAGTAAAAAAAAAATGATGATGATCGCATGGCTCAGCTGGGCATCGGCGGGGGGTGGGGTGGGGGGGTTGGGAAGGGATTTTTGCTACCGGATCTCCGAATGACCCGCTACCATTGCTACCGAATTGGGCGATCCGGTCTGAACCAGGAGCATTTCACCCCTGGATGAACTGTATTGGCTCAGTTATTCTAAGGGTGTAGCTGGTAAACCTCATTTCAGGGGGGAAAAAAAGATGGAACTATCCTTATACTAGGAGATGGCTTTTTATAAACTAGTTTTTTTGTTTGTTCCTGGGAAAAAAATGACACAAATCAATAACACTTATCTGCCCACAATATTACAAATTAACTTTAATAACATGTATAATTAGACATGGAGGATGAGGAGGGAAAATAAGGACATAGCTTTATTTTGGGAATGACTGAATATTAATACCATTCAATATTTCAGAATTACAATGGCTGAATAGATTTGTCTGCTTCCTTCTTTTCTCTTTTCATGGTTTATTTATTTATTTATTTATTTATTTATTTATTTAGTGGTTTGATTTATATGCCGCCCTTTTCCGGAGACTCAGGGCGGCTTACAATGCGTTAAGCAATAGCCTTCATACTTTTGTATATACCTGCTTAGTAGGGCTTTTGGCGCCCCCCCAAGCGGTGTTTTTTTTTATACAAAGTCAGCTTATTGCCCCCACAAACTGGGTCCTCATTTTATCTACCTTGAAAGAATGGAAGGCTGAGTCAACCTTGAGCCTGGTGAGATTTGAACTTGCAGTAATTGCAGGCAGCTGGTGTTACTTAACAGTGCTTTAGTCTGCTGCGCCACCAAGGCTCTTTATAGGTCCATGATGGCGAACCTATGGCACGCGTGCTAGAGGTGGCACAGAATGCCCTCTCTGATGGCACACGAGCCGTTGCATTCTAACCACTGCACTACCATGGCTCAGTAATATTGAGCCACGACAGTTTTATTAGGGGAAAACTAAATATAAGTATTACTTTAGGCCTGATTAGGCAATGAGTCCTTGGCAGTTTTTGATACCAGCTGGAAACTGATTTTGCAGACTCCGAATAGCTGCTAAAGATCACATAATTTTCCTCTGTAAATCAAAACACCTGTTCATTCAACGAATGACCAGTAAATCAATCTGAAGCCAAATAATGAAATAAATATGCAAATAAAATACTTCATTTAGTCACCTTATGTTCCATTTCCCATGCCATGGGAAAGAAGACTTGGCTCTAGTAGTTTTAAAAACGTGGTCCTTATTCAAATATTATAGAACCAAAACGGTTAAATAATTGGAATGATGGTAGTCAAAGAAAGAACCCAGGGGGGATTTTCAATTGCCAAATATAATTAAAAGGCAGAAAAGATCAAAGTTTTGGAATAAAACTGTGTTTATTTCAACTTTTGCTCAAGCAATAAAACCATGAAACCACACCTTCTTTGATTTTTCCCCCTTGTCCTTTCCAATGTATGTCTGCTGTGAATGGGCATTACTCATCTGGAAACATTTTGCACTTAATGTCACAGGAAACTGCAGAAAATCTCTACCACCAGCTGAAAACAGCAGGGCTGTCCTAGGATTTGCTGAATCAAACTGTAATGTGCCAAGCAGATTTTTTTTTTCTGAATTGTATCTTCCAAATCCCAGTGTTAACCCATTTGTCTACTAGGAAAATGTTGTCCCTATTTAGAAAACAAAAATGTAGAAATGGGATAGCTAGTTCCATACAGGTAGCTTTAGCACATTCACAGCTGGTCTGCAAGGATCCGTATGGCCATTAGATGGCAATAGAATAGAATAGAATAGAATAGAATAGAATAGAATAGAATAGAATAGAATAGAATAGAATAGAATAACAGAGTTGGAAGGGACCTTTGAGGTCTTCTAGTCCAACCCCTATTCAGGCAGGAAACTTTATACCATTTCAGAAAAATGGTTGTCTAATGTCTCCTTTAAAACTTCCAGTGTTGGAGCGTTCACAACTTCTGGAGGCAAGTTGTTCCACACACACACACACACACACACACACACACACACACACACACACACATATATAAATTGGTATGTGTCTTCCTCAATCTCAGGTCCTTGACCACAAACCTGGGAGTTTGAAGAATTCAAGTAGTGCAGGGAGTCCTTGACTTACGTTGCTAATTGAGACAGTTGTTAAGTGATTAACTACAGTTTTTAAATTAGTAGCATGGTTGTTAAATGAATCTGGCTTGAGAGTTGATAGAGGTCCTGGGCAAAAAAGCACATGGGTGAGAGAGAGAGATTTATATCCTCTGTTGGGCTTTGAATTTGAGCTTGTATTCTGATTGGTTGTCAGACTCCAATGGGGCCATGCAGGGGTAACTTTGTAGGTTGTCTTTTGAGTCCCAGGCTTGGTTGAGCCTTGCTGGGTGATGCAATCTCCCCAGGTCCCATGTGTTGAGTTCTGTTGCTAGATAGGTAGAGGGCTAATTCTATCTTTGTTAGATCTTGGGTGAGGGCATTTGCTTATGAATAGACTTAGCTATCTCTTTATCTCTTAAGCGCTGACATCTGCTGTGGGCTATTGAGAGTGTGGGGGCTATTAAGATTAAGTCTGCTTTCTGCCTAAAAAACATGTTTCTCTATTTCTCATCCAGGGAGGTATAATATTCTGCCTTTTTAATATTTCCTAAAATATTTCATTCTTCTAGGAGAGGGGTGAGTGGTGACTTCCTACAAAACGTATCCTATAAGATTTCCAGGAGTTTATTTTTCACAGAGGTGTTTCTACAGTTGATTAACATTTATATCCTTTTTATTCACGGATAGAAGATTTATTCTGAAAATGACTTATCAACAGGGTGCCATGTTCAGAACGGAATTCCAAAATGCTCCCTGTCAAGCAATCTCTTGAATTCCTTAAAAAGAAGAGCAAGATCAAGGAAGCAAGATCATATGGACTTTCTTGAATGAATTATGATCAGAGGGTTCTCAACAACCTTGAAAATTGAGATAAAAGTCCTCCAGCTCTCCTTTATCACAGATGTCATTAAGGCAGGATCTCTCTGAAGCTTTTAAATCTTTTTCCCAAGCTGTTTATATGACAGGCTAAGAATCAATTTCTTCCATATGTCTGGAATAAATTCTCCCATCTGCTAATCCTTTGTCTCTGGAGATCTTCTCCTCCCTTCTGACCCTCAGGGCAATCTCTCACACAATCCATTAAGTGTGCTGATTGTGAGGTTCATCTGGGAACAGAATTGGAGGGCACCAGCTTGGAGAAGTCGGTTCTTAAAGATCTTTTGCTCTATCTTATGCATGCATGAGTGCATATAAATATAAATGTGGGCATTTAATAGATTTGGAACAGAAGGTAGTGATTTTCTTGATTGTTGAGCTTCAAGACAGACGATGTCCTAAAATAGAAGGGTGTAGTAGATGATTGGTAAAATAGAGGACTGTAAATGTTCAGTGAAATTGCTCTGTTAGGATAAATTTCTTAAGATGGAAATATTTAGAATGTTGTCTCTTGTATTTTGAGGGTCATAGGTGTTCATTTGTGGATAAAGGTTACAAATTCGAAGACCAGGATAATTTTATAGGGCAGTGTTATTTAAGAGATTCAACCACATTTCTTAAATTCATGGTCATTTATCATTCTTCGGCAGGAAAAGCAAATTTGGTTTGGCAATTGCCTTTAGGAAAACGTTAGAAATTAGAAGAGCTTACATGGAACCAAAATGGTTGGCTGGAAAAATTACGTTTTATACTGAGAACTAGGAATCAGTAAATGCCTAAACCTAACTGTTTTTACGTTGTTTTCCCAATATTTTCTGAAGTCATTTAAACACAGTAAGAAATCTAGTTGATAAGCAAAAATCTCTTGCCCACCCATTCCTTTGTTTCTTAACTGGCAAATCAAATGTACTCTTAGTTTGAGATTTGCCTGTGGCTAGTAAATAAATGCAGCACTGTTTCCAAACTCCAGATTTAATAATCTGAGTGGCTAGCCCTCTCTATATCTAATCAAGAATCCTAAAGCATTTGCCATATGGGCTTCATTTCATCACGCTAAAACAAACCAAAAAACCCTCCCCCATTAAAAAAAGAAGGAATAACATTTGTCAGTGCCCCCCTCCAACAGGAACCACAGCTGTCCATTAAATGTGGTGGACATTTCCAGCATGCAAATCAATTTTTCTGGTACAGGGGGAAGCGGCGAATAATGACTGGGTTGTTTCCGGAAGCATGACGGATTTGGGATGAAGGTTTCTGCCTCTCTGACATTTTCACAGGGTAATTTATTACACGGAGCATATAAAGTGATGGTCAGCAGGTCTTGCTGGCACACTCGGTAGAAGAAACGTTCTCCAAGGCTTCAACACACCAACAACAGGGGTATTTTTTTTTTCTCCTAGCAGAAGGACCTCACTCTAAAGGAGCTAGCAATGTTGAGTCAGATAGCACCAAAGGACAACCTCAACTGGAGTCTCCTGCTTTTGCTTCTGTTTCTTCATTTTTGCCTGGGCCAAGAAGAAAACATGGAGGTGAGCAGAAGAGCTAATAGTCCAGTGGCCAAAGTTTTGGAGAGCCACCACCAGGCCGGTCATAAAGGTTCCAGCAGCAGGGAAAACTTGAGACAGCGGAGCCAACTGTATAAGTGGACTTTTGAGGCAGTTGATGGTAATAGTCCTTCTACTGAACAAAATGCCTTGAAACCAGACGTAGATGATGTAGCACAGACTACCTCAGACAGAGTCCAGGTACTCTGAATTAATCTTCTAAGATGCTATTAAGAAAGTGTGTGAGCGTTTTATTAACATTAGCACTATATTTCTCAGAAGCAACCGGTTCCTAACGATAGGATGACCATACTATGCACAGATGTCTTTCAGGATAGGACTTTTCTATGAGTTTAATTTTCCATACAGATGTTCCCCCCCCCCCTTTATGACATCAACTATCTTTAATCTACCTATAATCCAATTTATGCATGTTTATTTAGGTGTTAAGTCCCAGTGTATGGGTTTACATCTTAATGGGGCAATCCATTCAATGTTTTAAGCATTTCAGATCGTAGTAAAAATTAGGGTCTTAATTTTAACTTTCTACAGATTGTGCCATACTGATACATTAGAAATGTTATGAGAAAAGTATTTTGTATTGGAGCAAATTTTGTTCAAGATGCATGGGGATAAACCCTCATGGTATAAACAGATAGCTTTATCAAACATGCTGTCAGACATGAAGAAAGATTGCATACTTCAGTGGAATAAGGAAAAACTCTCTGTATCTCAATATTTTTCAATGCATCTTCTATGTAAATTTGCATAGGATTGTAATTTGCACAAACATTTACTGGAGATGGTTTTTAATTGAAGGTAGAATTTATGCAGAGGATTCTGTTCATAAGAATGGCAAAAGATAACACTTATTTTTAAAGTAGAGAATATGCTTTATAATTGAAAGAAGAGAGTATGCTTTATAATTTTTAAACGATTAAATGCACTACCCTATAATCCTTTCTCAGCTCAATAGATGTTAGACACCAGAACTACTGTGCTTATTGATTCTGTTGTTATTACATTTTTTTAAAATCACTTAATTAAGACCAGCTTTACTGTATGGAATCTACTTCAAATACCGTAGACGCAAGTACGGTAGTTCAGGCTACTTCTTTACATGACCAAAACTACTTTATAAAAGAATTTTCAGATAGTAGGTATTAGAGATGGGCCAGTGAGTGTGATCAGTTCATACACATTAATTTAGATATGGCCTACCAACCCTCCAAACATTTGAGGATCCATATTGTAATTTAACGCCAGTTACATGGTGGGAAAGGGATCAGAATGTTCTCCTTAGGCTAAACAATGCCTTCATGTTAATATAGGTAGCCGTGACAGCTTCGCTTTTGCAATACCCTGTTTGTGTAAGAACCAGGTGTGCATTCAAAGTTGCAAAGAAGTCTTTGGATTGTGCCCGTTTTTTCTCCTACACATTTTAAAAAAAAATGTTGGCTACTGACAGCAGGAACAGTTTTAATTCTTGTCGTGCAGGGTTTTTTTTAGTTCGTTAAAGTGAAGGTAAAGGTTCCCCTCGCACATATGTGCTAGTCGTTCCCGACTCTAGGGGGCGGTGCTCATCTCTGTTTCAAAGCCGAAGAGCCAGCACTGTTCAAAGATGTCTCTGTGGTCATGTGGCCGGCATGACTAAACGCCAAAGGCGCACGGAACGCTGTTACCTTCCCACCAAAGGTGGTCCCTATTTTTTCTACTTGCATTTTTTACGTGCTTTTGAACTGCTAGGTTGGCAGAAGCTGGGACAAGTAACGGGAGCTTACCCCGTGACGCGGCACTAGGGATTCGAACTGCTGAACTGCCGACCTTTCGATCGACAAGCTCAGCTTCTTAGCCATTGAGCCACCGCGTCCCTGACTTTTTAGTTTATCGTAGCCCTTCTAATAATTCTTTTCTGAGCTGAATAAAATGTTTTCATAAGAAACTTTGGAGGGCAACAGGTTCAAATAACATGGTGCTTTACCCAAAGTGAAGACAATTTATTATATTAAAGAGCATAAAGAGATAAGCAAAGTACTTTTCTTGTACTGATTTTGAATTGTTTCCAGGTTTAAACTAAGGATTTTCTTGGCAGAAAAGAGGTTTCTAATTGGAATGTCATTGCACTTGTGGAAGTCGGTGTCCAGTACCTATTGTAGTATTTTAAGCTCAGTTAATAATAGCCAAGCAGTCGCAAACTCTTAACTTTAGATGTACTTTGGGGCCAATATCTTGACTTTGTGGACCGTACCCTATAGATACTCTGTCAGGTGGCCTAACTGTGAAAGCAATTGTGCCAGGCCTGTTCTTTAACTAAAGCTACCGTATCTGGGCTGCAAAAAGACAGATGTCCACATGCCGTCTCTTTGCTGCCATTTAGAGACTGTCTGTATTATTGCAGCTCAAACATGATAGTTCTATATTTCCACTTGATGGATGGAGAATGGAGTTGGCTTGGGAATTTAGTCAACTGTCCCCTTGGATTTCTTCCAAAGAAGGAATAAATTATAGTCCATTGCATGTGCATACTGTTCTCTGAAGCAGGGGTCTCCAACCTTGGCAACCTTAAGACTTAAAGTTGCCAAGGTTGGAGACCCCTGCTCTGAAGCATTCTGCTCTTGGCTGGAACTGCCTTTATTAAAATGAGAACAGCAGATTTAATATGTTACTTGCTTGATCCAGGAGTGAAATCCAGCAGGTTCTGGAGAACCAGTAGCAGAAATTTTGAGTAATTCGGAGAACCGGCAAATACTACCTCTGGCTGGCCCCAGAGTAGGGTGGGAATGGAGATTTTGCAATATCTTTCCCCCAGGAGTGGGGAGGGAATGGGGATTTTGCAGTATCCTTCCTTTGCCACGCCCACCAAGCCACACCACGCCCACCAAACCACACTCACAGAACCGGTAGTAAAAAAATTTGGATTTCACCACTGGTTTGATCCAATCTTTGCCATGCCTCGTTTTTCAGCTGCAAGCCACAAGCATTTCTCTCTAGAAGGGATTAAGAGACACTGTCAGCGCTTCGACGCTGGCATAGAGAGCAGAGGAGAGAGAGAGATAAGCTCTGAACTTTTGCCTGCTAAATCCCTTTGAAGTCGGGTTGTCGTGGAAATGAAGGGGGAGGCATTCCTGGGAAATGACGAGACAAGAAGTCTGAAGAATGACTTGGAAGATAGCCAATGAGAAGCAGAGATTTGGGGATCGGAAAGGGAGGGATTGGGGGGCAAAAGGTCAGTCTTGTCCGCATCGAGTCATGATCCGGTGGCTGTGCTCAATTAAAGAAAAGATTTCCTTAAAGATTGGCAGTTTGGAAATTCATTTATTTTGAGATAGCATCGAAGTCTGACAGATGGACAAGACTGACCTTTTGCCCCCCAATCCCTCCCTTTCCAATCCCCAAATCTCTGCTTCTCATTGGCTCTTTATGTAACAACGAAGAAATAGGGTCCCAAAGACTTTTTTTCAAGAGGCCCCCAGACTTTCTGGTTTTTCTTTGAAGAAGTTTCACTTCTCATCCAAGAAGCTTCTTCAGGAATGGGGTCTATTGCTGCAGATAATCTGTTACAGGTAGTCCTTGACTTACAAGCATTTGGTTTAGTAACCATTCAAAGTTACCAAGGTGCTGAAAAAAGTGACTTACATACACACTTCTCTCTTTCACTTATGACCATCACAACCAGCGGTGAAATCCTCTGAAGTCTGCTACCGGTTCTTTGAATCTGCTACCAAGTGTGCTTCAAGCGCATGTATGTCCAAGGCGCGCCCAAGGCGCGCCTGCACAGCGCTAAAAAGGGAATATTTTGAAAACTTCAGAGTCTGCAAAGGTAAGTAGAACAGCGAGGGGGAGGGAATCCACTGTGCCACCTGATTTAGATAAGCTAGAAAGCAGGCAATCCGACGACTCTAGCTGATATAAATCACGTGTCACAGCTGATCATCGCCCAGCTGATCGTCGGAAATACCGGTTCGCCTGAACCGGTAGCATTTTTTACTACCTGTTCGCCCAAACCGGTCTGAACCGGTAGCATTTCATCCCTGATCACAACGTATTTATAGATACATGATCAAAATTTGGGGTCTTGGCATGGAATTATGGTGATTGCAGAGTCCTGGGATCACGTGATCGCCATTACGATCTTCCCAGTTGACTTCTGACAAGCAAAGTCAATGGGGGAAGCAGGATTCACTTAATGATCACATGCTTCCCTTAACAACTGCAGCAATTTGCTTAATGACCATGGCAAAAAAGGCTATAAAATCAGGCACGGCTTGCTTAACAACCACCTTGCTTAGCAATGAAAATGCTGCTCCCAATTGTAGTTGTAAGTTGAGGGCTACCTATATGCCACAACTGTGATATCCTATAAATTGTCTTTGAATGATGTGTTTGCAGACAACACAGAGTGGACCTCAAAGCCCACCGGAATGCGGTTGCCGGGGAGATTTTGGATTTCGAGGCTATCAAGGCCCACCTGGACTTCCAGGACCTGCCGGAATCCCAGGTAAATACTTAGAAAGCAATTGTATAGTGATGAACACTTGAAGGGGTTGCTTGGTTTCTGTGGCAGTTTGCAGAGCAGAGAAGATACCATATTTCCCCGAAAATAAGACCCTGCCTTATATTTTTTTGAACCCCAAAATAAGCGCTTGGCCTTATTTTCGGGAAGTCTTATTATTTTGGAGCGCGTGGAGCAAGATGGGCTCCTCTTACCATCTTACCTGATTTCGAGCTCCCTAACCCTAACCGGAGGAAATGACGGGGACCGGCTGTGCATGCGGTTAAATATTTTCAGAGAGGGCTTATTTTTGGGGAAATACAGTATACAGGGTTTCCTGCTGCATCACATCACAGTGCTCTTGGACTATTATTCTAAATGGTGCACCACCTGGAACATCTGGAATACTGTAATGGCATTCCTTATCCTGCTCCTTATTCCTTATTGGCCATTCCTGTAATGGCATTCCTTATTCCTATTCCTTATTCCTTCAGTCTCTTGAATCAAATGATGTTGAGACTCTAGAAAGAGTGCAGAGAAGAGCAACAATGATGATTAGGGGACTGGAGGCTAAAACATATGAAGAACGGTTGCTGGAATTAGGTATGTTAGGTACAACTTCCGTGGACCTTACTTCATACTTAAGTGGTCAGTAGAGGGGCCGTGTATAAGTGCACTAGCATGCCTATCGTCCCTGTCATTGTATTTTTATTCTCTTATTCTTGTTCTTGTTTTTGTTTGACAAATTCCAATGAATGAATGAATGAATGAATGAATGAATGAATGAATGAATGAATTTCTGGTTTAATAAGAAGATCTAGGGGTGCCATGATAGCAGTGTTCCGATATCTCAGGGGTTGCCACAAAGAAAGAGGAGGTCAAGCTATTCTCCAAAGTACCTGACAGCAGGACAAGAAGCAATGGATGGAAACTAATCAAGGACCGAAGCAACCTAGAACTAAGGAGAAATTTCCTGACAAAACAATTTATCAGTGGTACAACTTGTCTCCAGAAGTTGTAGGTGCTGCAACACTGGAAGTTTTTAGGAAGAGATTGGACAACCTACTATGCAGTCTCCCTGCCTACCTTGCCACCAGCTGACCTTCCTGGTCCCGTCAACATTTGGCCCTCTAAAAGTTAAATCTTAAGTCATTGTGAAACTGATGTGCTTTAGGGCAAAATGCCAAATAATTGTTGACGGCGTCATCAGTAGCCAAAAGGACGTGGGAGATAGAGTGGATGGCAGCAACTTGTAAAACCCTACTTTGTAATTGCTTAAATCAGGGGTTTGCAACCTTAAACACTCAAAGAGCCATTTGGACCCGTTTCCCACAAAAAAGAAAACACCGGGAGCCACAAAACCCTTCCCGTGCCTGACTATTTCTTGAGCGGCCACAAAACTAGCATATGTAGTTGAATTAAATGTTCTGTTTTCTTCTGAAGCTTTTCTTGTCTTGGATTGATCCATGGTTGGCCTACCGCGGGGTTGAAAAGCTCAATAAATCGTGTGTCAGTGGGTGTCACACATTGGCGGTTGTGACACATATATTGAGTGACAGGGAGCTGCAGCAGAGTTGCTGAGCCCTGGCTTAAATTGTCCATGCCAGCAATTTCGCAGACAGCAAACTCCCCATCTATCATTTTGCAAGAGTGCTCTCAGTTTGTTCTCAAAACTCCGAAGGCCTACCAACCCTCCAAACATTTGAGGATCCATGTTTAATTTAACACCAGTTACATGGTGGGAAAGGGATCAGAATGTTCTCCTCAGGCTAAGCAATGCCTTGATGTTAACATAGGTAGCTGTGACAGCTTCGCTTTTGCAATACCCTATTTGTGTAAGAACCAGGTACACATTCAAAGCTGCAAAGAAGTCTTTGGATTGTGCCCGTTTTTTTCTCCTACTCTTTTTTTTTTTTTAATTGACTGACAGCAGCAGCAGTTTTAATTCTTGCTATGCAGGGGTTTTTTAGTTCATCATAGCCCTTCTAATAATTCTTTTCTGAGCTGAATAAAATATTTTTATCAGAAGCTTTGGAGGGCAACAGGTTCAAATAACATAGTTCTTTACCCAAAGTGAAGACAATTTATTATATAGCTAAACCGTAAGTCTTAACCAAAATGTAATATTAGATTTCATTTATATGAACAGCAATGCCCATACATTCTATGAATTTCTTGTTTCATACCATAGATCCGTAAATGACTGAAGGCATGAGAAAAAAAAATGCAATAAAATGATGTAGTGTATTAAGTTAAATAAACATGAAAATGTTCTTCGGAAGATACTGATATAATTCATCAACTACAGTAATTAATTAGCTACTTTAATGAGACAGGCAAATGAAGAAAACTTAGTTCTGTTCCTATTATACAACTTTAAATAAGTTGCAACATATTTACTACATTACAAAGATGTAAGTTTCAACAGCACTGAAAAAAGTTACTTATGACTGCATGTTAGGATATGGTTTGAGCCTAACTATGTTGTCCAGGTAATATAAGTGTACTGTAACTTTAATCTGTAAATGTATTATGTGACTTTAATGCTGAGTCATGCTGTAATTAGATAATGACTGGTTATGAGAGTATTTAAGAAAGCTCCTGTAACATATTCAGTGGCTGGCTAGCTACGCTGACTGAGCTATGCTATGCTGAGCTGAACTGCTATGCTATGCTATGCTATGCTGCCATTGTGTATGAAGATGATGAGATAATGAAGCTGAGATGATAAGCTACCATTGAGAGGAGTTGTTATCTGCTAATCATCGTTTGATGGATCTGCAACCATCGTGGTTTGTGAACCAGAGTGAGTTTGTTATTCTAACCAACTACTGTTTGTTGGGTAAGAAGATTCTGTAACTACTGGACTGATTTACTGGCAAAGACTTGGAAGTTGTTTAAAGACTATGAGACTGTTTTTCTACTATAAAGTAAGCTTTTGATAAACCAGTTTGCATTTATAACTGTCGCAGCATCCTCACAGTCACATTATCAAAATTCAGGCATTTTTGCTCATGCCGATACACAAGAATCAGTCAATAGTAAATTGGTGCTAGATAAGAATCAGCGGAATTCAAGAGGGGTTGGGCTTAGACCTTTTGTGGGAATGTAATGATTCTAGGCTGATTACTTGCTTGACTCTGCCTGCTCCTCTCCTACATCTTCTCAGCTGACTTACAACAAACAAAGTCAATGCTATATGTAGAAAAAAAAACGCTAGGACAGAAATGAAGGAAATTCCCCTATTGTCCAAGAAAGCCATTGTTATTATCGGTTCATCAATATAGTTTTGCTTCTCAACATACTCTTAATTTTGAGGGGGAGCCCCCACTGTATTTCAACCTTGGCAACCTTAAACTATATTTGCAGGACCGCCTTCTGCCGCCGATAGCCTCCCACCGGCCAGTACGCTCCCACAGAGAGGGACTCCTCAGGGTGCCGTCAGTCAGGCAGTGTCGGCTGGCAACCCCCAGGGGGAGGGCCTTCTCTGTGGCAGCACCTGCCCTCTGGAACGATTTGCCCCCAGAGATACGCATGATACCAGATCTCCAGGCTTTTTGCCGTGCCCTAAAACTTTTCTTTTCCACCAAGCAGGGCTGGCATAAACACCCCCCCCCCCTTTTGAGATGTTAGATTTTTAATTGTCTATGGGTTTTAGTTGGGATGTTTTAAATTTTGGGCCAAAGTTGTGTAATTCTTTTAACAAATTTTAAATTTTGTATTGGGATGTTTCTTATTTTGGCTGTGCACTGCCCTGAGTCCAGCAAGAGAAGGGTGGTATACAAATTTAATAAAATAAAATAATAAAATAAATAATAAACTGTGTGAACTTCGACTCCCAGAATTCCCCAGCCAGCATGTTCAAAAATCCAGCTCCTACCAAGATGCTTCTTATCTACCACTGCCCTTTTTCCTACTATTTTAGAAAGGATATCCGGGCCTCAATACTTACTAGTCCTCTAGATGTATTGAACTATAATTTCCGTCATTCCCAGTCATTGGTGGTTAGGGAAGATGGGTGTTGTAATAGAATATATATCTAGAGGATACCAGAATAAGAAAGGTTAAATCAAATTTTGCCTAAAGAAGTCTAGATTAAAAATGAAAAGAAAACCTTGCATGGGGTCTTTTAAAGCTTGCATTTCACCGAGCAACCTATTGATTGACTGCCCTAAGGAAACCATGGGAACAATGGGAATAATGGATTACCTGGCACAGAAGGATCGAAAGGTGACAAAGGAGACAAGGGGGATTTGGGACCCAGAGGCGAGCGAGGCCCTCAAGGACATAAAGGAGAAAAAGGTTATCCTGGCATCCCAACAGAGCTTCAGGTAATTTCCCCCTAATTTTCATGACAGCATGATTTTTCCAAAAGTGACTGCCTGTTACAATTCCATAAATTTATGTATGGGTTATGTATTTGTTTGTTTAGCAATAGCAATAGTACTTAGACTTGTATATACCGCTTTCCAGTGCTTTCCAGCCCTCTCTAAGCGGTTTACAGAGTCAGCCAATTGCCCCCAACAATTTGGGTCCTCATTTTACCCACCTCAGAAGGATGGAAGGCTGAGTCAACCAGGGCCGGATTTTCCTATAGGCTAACTAGGCTTCAGCCTAGGGCCTCAAGATCAAGAGGGGCCTACATTCAAATTGTTAGCAAAATTAAAATTACACTTTCATTATAGGTGAAAGGGCCTCATAAGTGGAATAGCCTAGGGCCTCTTTTCATCTAAATCTGGCCCTGGAGTCAACCTTGAGCCTGGTGAGATTCAAACTGCCAAATTGCAGGCAGCCGGCAGTCAGCAGAAGTAGCCTGCAGTACTGCACTCTAACCACTGCGCCACTGTGGCTCATGTTTACCTGGCTATGATACAGAGGATTTGGGGGGGGGGGCTGGGTCAGCTCTTTGAGGCAGTTCTGACAAGAAGCGCCAACCAGGAGTATATATGGCATGTCTACTTTGCTTAACACCCATGGCATTTGCTTAATGATCATTGCAAAAAAGGTCACAAAATTAAGGTTTACCCACTTTGTGATCGTCAAGATTTATGACTGAAATTGTAGACTCCATTATGGTCATAAGTCAAGGACTAACTGAACATTCTGGACACCCTTGCTATCTCTATTGGGGCACACTTTAATTTATTTTGCAAGTCAAAGTAAACCTGTACATGAGACTTCTTCTCTATTCCCTCCATCCTGGGGCCAATCTGACAAATCTCACTAAACCTTCTTCTGGCTGAAACGGCATGAAGTGAAGTCCACAAACTCAGCTGCTATGTTAAACTATACTGTAATCTTAAACGGAGCTGTTTTTTAGATGTCCATCTGGATCAGGAGTGTCAAACTCAAGGCCCATGGGCCAAATCCGGCCTATGGGGTGCTTAAATCTAGCCTGCGGGGCTGGCCTGGAAATATCAAAGGACTGGCCCACAGTGCCTCTGCTGGCCAAAAAGGGCCTGTTTTCGGCCTCCCCGCCCTCCTGCAGCACTCTGCTGGCCAAAAGTGGGCCTTGCAGAGGCGTCTGCATGGACCGTTTTCGGCTGGCAGCAGTGGTGGGTTCCTCCTGGTTCAGCCCAGTTTGCGAGAGCCGGTAGCGGTGACGATATGATGTCACCGAACCGGTTCTCTGTCTTCAGGAGCTGGGTCCTCCCGCCCGCCCCGGCGTTATGCCGACCTTATATGTCGGTTTGTTCGCCCAGCTGAGAGGTGTGGCAGAGTGGATTGCCGCACCTCAGCTGGGCAGATTCGCAACGCGCTTGCATGAAGTGCAAGTTTGGTGTCCCACGAGCGAACCGAGCATGTGCACGGTGATCGTGCGCAAAGCATGTGACCGAAGAGGAGATTGCACGCGAAGCGCGCACACAAAGAGAACCGATAGTAAAGGTAAGTAGAACCCACCCCTGGCTGGCAGAGTGCTGCAGGAGCACCCGGCGGCGCCCATCATGACCACGCCCACCCCTGGCCACACCCCCACACACCCCCGGTCCTCCAAGGTCAAACACAACCCTGATGCAACCCTCAATGAAATCGAGTTTGACATCCCTGAGCTAGATGTTTTTCTTTCTTCATATGAGTGGTTCTCTGTTCATGCATAAATCAATGGCAGTGTTGTTAGTCAGGTTGGCTAAGTGCTGTCCCAGATCCTAGCGATGCATTTACGAAATTAAAGGTTATCTCCCTTTCTCTCTCCCCTCTCCTCCTTCCCCAACTAAACTGGGAAAGAAGTTAATACAGAAATTGATTGCTTTCAACCATGTCTTCCAATCTGCCTTTCTCCTGTTTTTCAAATGCTAACTCTATTTCGCTTAGGTTGCATTTATGGCTTCAATGGCCACCCACTTTAGTAATCAGAACAGCGGAATAATCTTCAGTAGTGTGGAAACCAACGTTGGCAATTTCTTTGATGTAATGACTGGACGATTTGGAGCGCCAGTGAATGGTGAGTACAGCAGATAATATATTCGGTGCGAATTTTGTGCAAAAGAAGCAATAATTTGCATTGGACATTCTTGTTGCAATCCAGCAGAATTTTTTTCCCCTTGAAGCTTCAGTCTGATGTGTTTTACTTTGGATCAAACACAAAGATAAACATTCTGATGTTTTCTAAAGATGTCTCCTTAATTGATTGAACTATGATGTCCATAGCAATAGCACTTAGATTTATATACCGCTTCACAGTGCTTTACCGCCCTCTCTAAGTGGTTTACAGAGTCAGCATATTGCCTCCAACAATCTGAGTCCTCATCAGGAGTGAAATTTGTTACTACCGGTCCTGTGGGCGTGGCTTGGTGGGGAGGGTAATGTGACCGGGGGGGCGTGTGGCCAACTTTTTTTTTTTTTACTTTTAAAAGCATTTTTTCTACAACCTTAAGAGGTTGCAGAAAAAAATGCTTTTAGAAGCTTCTGACGATCAGGCAACTCAGATGGGATCGCTAGAGGCTTTTAAAGGCATTTTTTTCTACAACCTCTTCGGCTGAAGAGGTGGCAGGAAAAAATGCTTTTAAAAGCCTCTGACGATCCCAGCTGAGCCGCACGATCATCAGAGGCTTTTTTAAAAAAACTTTTAAAAGCATTTTTTCGGCCAAAGAGATTGTAGAAAAAATGCTTTTAAAAGTAAAAAAACCAGCCTCTGATGATCGCGCGGCTCAGCTGGGCATGGGGGGGGGGGACAGGGATTTTTGCTACTGGTTCTCCGAACCACCCACCGCCATCGCTACCGGATCAGGCGATCTGGCCAAACCAGGAGTATTTCACCCCGGTCCTCATTTTACCCACCTCGGAAGGATGGAAGGCTGAGTCAACCTTGAGCTGGTGAGATTTGAACTGCCGAACTGCAGCTAGCAGTCAGCTGAAGTAGCTTGCAGTACTGCACTCTAACCACTGTGCCACCTAACATTTTAATTGTGATTGCTTGATCAGAAAGGATGCATACTGCCAGATTCTATAAAAAAAAAACCCAACAAATTCTGTTTGGACCCTTTTAAAAAAAAATTGAAAGTTTTTTCCTTTATTGTTCTTGCGTAGGCAATTTGCATGAATGTAATTTACAACTGAGAAATGTCTTTGTGTAAATTGCCTATGAGCCGTGGTGGCGCAGTGGTTAGAATGTAGTACTGCAGGCTACTTCTGCTGACTGCCAACTGCCAGCAGTGCAGCAGTTCGGGTCTCGCTGGCTCAAGGTTGACTCAAATTTCCATTCTTCCGAAGTGGGTAAAATGAGGACCCAGATTTTTGGGGGAAATATGCTGACTCTGTAAACCGCTTAGAGAGGGCTGTAAAGCACTGTAAAGCGGTATATAAGTCTAAGTGCTATTGCTATAAAATTTCAACAGGAAATAGTTGAAGGTATAATAAAGAGAATAAAAAAGCCAATATTTGATTTTTGCAAATGTATTTATCTCTGACCTTTATATACTGCTGTACTCTGTATGCATTCCTAGCAGTTTACAATAAAGAAATAAAACAACATTGAATTAGGACAATACCATGGTAATACAATAGAGTAATGCAGGTGGTATACATTCATAATTTCTTGAATACATTCTGGAAAGGTTTTAATGAATTTCTTGGAATAGAAGCACTATATTTTTTGGAGTATAAGACACACCTTTTTCCCCCCTAAAAGGGGGTGAAAATTTAGGTGCGTCTTATACACCGAATGTAGCCCCGCACACCCACTGGCCCCCACCCTTTGGCCTCTGCCTCCCAGCAGTTACCTCCTTGCAAGCAAACAGCTCCTTTCAGCTTCAGCACAGCCTAATTAGCACAAGTTGATTGGATTGGCCTCCTGACTCTCAGCTGTTTTGCGCAGGCCTCTGCTGCTTGCTGCAAGGAAGAAAATTGCTGGAGCAGATTTTTCTCTCCTTGTGCTAATCAAGCTATGCTGAAAACGAAAATGAAAGTAAAGCAGGCTGTTTGCTGTTTGCTGCAAGGAGGCAAAATTGCTCAGAGGCAGAGGCAGAGGGAGATTTCTTTTTCTTCTATTCCTCACCAAAAAAGGTAGGTGCATCTTATAGTCTGGTGCATCTTATACTCTAAAAAAATATGGTAACTCAAATTTGCTGTACATATTCAGTAATCTGATTCTCCAGGCTTCAGCAGATCAGTAATGAATTATCAACCAGGTTCTTTGCAGGTTGGCAAAGCCTTAGTGGGATGCCAGGCAAAACATCTGTAGAAAAACCTGATCAATACAAGAACCCAGCTGCTAAGTATATTAAGTTGTTTTATTAGCTTCTAACAAGTAATAACAAGCTCAAGACAATATCAAAACAGAAGCTGTAAACAGTCCAAAAATTAGATAATTAATTAATTTTAAATAATAATATTTTCCTAAATATAATCTTCCTAAAATGTTTTAAAGGCAACCTAGTTAAGCTATTATTGCTTTTACCACACTAAAATAAATTAAACAGCGTGCCTTTATTAATCACTGTTCTTTCAATATGTCCACATTCATTGGTAAACTTAATAATAGACTGGAAATGAGATCTTGCCAGTCACAAGAACATATCCATCTTTTTATGCCTCTCCTTTCCCCACATCTTCAATTTATGCAGCTTACAAGAGCTTAAAAATTGGGCCAGACTGGCATTAAAAAAATAATGATAGCGTTTTAAGGTACCAAAATAAATTCTAAGCTTCAGGAACAGTTTACCTCATCTTGGATTGTTTCAGGGATGAAACAAAATATGTGGCTATTCGTCTCTGAGAAGATGAATTAATTCTTAACAATTGTGGATAAATGTGTGCACTCTTAAGTTTGGAAGGATTTGATTGATTGATTGATTGAGTGAGTGAGTGATTTAATTTCGTCAGGCATGTATTTTATGACAGATACAAGTGTAAACATAATTATAAATACATGAAAAGGATATGAATAAAAGAAAACATTAGGACAGGGACGGTAGGCACGCTGGTGCGCTTATGTACACCCGTTACAGACCTCTTAGGTTTAGATTCTTATTATATTTGATAAGGATTAGTTCTGAATATATGTACAGGTAGTCCTCAACTTACAACAGTCCATTTAGTGACTGTTCGAAGTTACAGTGGCACAGATAAAGTGACTTATGACTGTTTCTCCACACTTATGACCCTTGCAGCATCTCTCTGGTCACGTGATTCAGATGCTTGGCAACTGACTCTTATTTATAACAGCTGCCCTGTCCCAAGGTCACATGATCCCTTTTGCGAATATCTGATCAGCAATGTCAACGGGGAAGCCAGAGTCACTTAACAACCATATTACTTAACAACTGCAGTGATTCGCTTAAAAACGGTGGCAAGGAAGGTCATAAAATGGGGTGAAATTAGGGCTGCGCAACCATTTCGAAGCCGATGTTTCAGAATGCGTGGTAGCCTGAATGAAGCATCTCTTTTGTGTAACTTATGACCGCAATTGAGCCCTAAATTTCTATTGCTAAGTGAAACAGTTGTGAAGTGAATTTTGCCCCATTACGACCTTCCTTGCCATTGTTGTGAAGGGAATCACTCTGGTGATTAAATTAGTAACATGGTTGTTAAGTAAATCTGATTTCCCCATTGATTTTACTTGTCAGAAGATTCCCAAAAGGAATCATGGGACACTGCAACCATCAAAAATATGAACCAGTTGGCAAGCACCCAAATGGTGGCGCAGCAGACTAATAGCCTATTATTAACATTCAGCTGCCTGCAATTAAAGTAAGATCGAATCTCACCAGGCTCAAGGTTGACTCAGCTTTCCATCCTTTCTAAGGTAGGTAAATTGAGGACCCAGTTTGTGGGGGCAATAAGATGACTTTGTATAAATATACAAAAGGATGAAGGCTATTGCTTAACGCATTGTAAGCCGCCCTGAGTCTCCAGAGAAGGGCGGCATATAAATCAATTTTTTTTTTAAAAAAATTGATCACATGGCAGGGGGATGCTGCGGTGATCGCAAGTGCGAAAAACGGTCATAAGTCTCTTTTTTCAGAGTCACTGTAACTTCAAACGGTTACTAAATGAACTGTGGTAAGTCAAGGACTACATATACATCTAAACCAGGCTAAGGAGTATTCTACTATAACAGTCGATTTGGTACAATCCCAATCCTAATACACAATCCTAATACATTGATTTTAGCCAGAGGTTAGTTCAGGGGTGTCAAACTTGATTTTATTGAGGGCATCAGGGTTGTGTTTGACCTCAGGGAGCTGGGGGGCTGGGGTTGGTGTGGCTAGGATGGATGTGGCCAGTCATTTGTGTTGGGGGGCACCTCTGGGGGATACGTGGCCCTCCTGAGCTCCGTTTTTGCTGGCAGAGGGTTGCAGGAGGCCGTCCCAATAAAAATGGAGCTCAGGAGGGCTGCACATGGCTTCTGAAGCTCTGTTTTCACTGACAGAGGCACCGCAGGTCAGTCCTTTGCTGTTTCCAGGGCGGCCCCACGGGCCAGATTTAAGCACCCCTTGGCTCAGGTCTGGGCTGGCGTCAGGGGTAAAATCCAGCAGGTTCTGACAGGTTCTGGAGAACCGGTAGCAGAAATTTTGAGTAGTTTGAAGAACCGGCAAATGCCACCTCTGGCTGGCCCCAAAGTGGGATGGAAATGGAGATTTTGCAGTATCCTTCCCCTGGAGTGGGGTGGGAATGGAGATTTTGCAGTATCCTTCCACTGCCATGCCCACCAAGCCACACCCACAGAACCGGTAGTTAAAAAATGTGAATTTCACCACTGCCCGGGGATCCTCGAGTTTGACACCCCTGGGTTAGTTGGACTATGCCTATTTCCTCAGAGATCTTTCCTCAGAGATCTTTCACTGCCATTGAGTTGTGATTCTGGGGGTGGGGGTGGGGGGTGGAATTACAAGGGAGAGGGAATGGAGAAAGAGGAGGTTATTGAAGCAGCTGCAAAGAAACAGCCTGATTTATCTTGTACCTGTGCCACTGAATTACTCAATGGTACTATATATTTTTTTCTCTTTCCTTCTAGGGGTGTATTTCTTCTCCTTCAATATGATGAAGCATGAAGATGTCGAAGAAGTCTATGTGTACTTGATGCATAATGGCAACACGGTCTTCAGCTTATTCAGGTGGGTGGGGTGCATTTGGGGCTTTCAAATATGTGAAATAAATTTGGGAGAGGACCTGAAACTCAGGGGTAGAGCACATGAGATGCAGTGGTGGGATTCAGCTGGTTCTCTCCAGATCACACAAACTGGTAGCGGCGGCTGCGGGAGGCTCCGCCCACCCGCCCAGATGTAATGCACGACTACTGTGCATGCGCAGAAGGCCATGCTCATGCGCAGAGGCCCGCGCTCACATTTGCAAACTGGTAGGGAAGGTAAGTGAATCCCACCTCTGATGAGATGCCTTTCAAGGGTCTCAGCTTCAGTCCCTAAGACAGGGGTCCCCAACTCTTGGGCCATGCGGCCGACTACCAGGTGGCGGCCTGTTTGAAACCGGCCCACGCAAAGCCCCACTCGCGTGAGTGGTGAGCCCTTGCGCTCCTGTGTGATGCTCAATTCGTGCAAGTGGATCTTCGTGTGTGAGCGCAAGCACCCTCTGCTCACATGTGAACCTCCATTTGCACACGCCCACCAATGGAGCTGTGCGCCCGTGTGAGTGCCTGCCATTCACCCCCCCACCCCCACGCTCTGGGCCACCGTGGTAGAAAGGTTACAGATTGCTGCCTTAAGTCTTCCAAAGAAATAGGTTATGGTTATAAGGACAAACCACTAGGCCAATGATGGCTAACCTTTTTGCCATTGTGTGCCAAAAGCGGGGGAGTGCAGGGGGGTCACGCACGTGCGTGCCCACATCCATAATTCAATGTGCCCTGCCCCCCACTCATGTGCATGTGATCCCCCCGTGCTCCCCCCACTTTTGGAACATGATGGGACAGTGGGCCTGGGGAGGGCAAAAATGGCCTTTCCCCACCCCCATGGAAGCCCTCCAGAGGACAGAAACTGCCCATTTCCTAACTTCCGGTGGGACCGGAAGGCCCATTTTTCGCCTTCCCAGGCTCCAGACCCTTTCTAGGAGCCTGGGGAGGGCAAAAACGGCCTTTCCCACCTCCGTGGAGGCCCTCCGCAGGCCAGAAACAGCCCATTTTCCGACTTCCGGTGGGCCTGGAAGGCCTGAAAATCAGTTGGCCAGCGTGCGCATGTGCGCTGGAGTTGAGCTAGGGCAACCCTTGCATGCCCACAGATATGGCTCTGCGTGCCACCTGTGGCACGCATGCCATAGGTTCGCCATCGCGGCACTAGGGAATGCTGCTATCCCATAGCATAGATGACCTGGCTAAGAATTAGGAGCACCAAGTTGGAAAAATGACCAGTAATAGATTTTATGAAGAATTCATCTGGCGTGATATAAAACTGCACATTTTCTAAAATAGGTGTTGTCAGGTAAGTAGGGTGATTGTATTCATCTTTAGATGAAGTCGGAACCATTAATTACTACTTCCTGGGCTGAAATTGCCAATCTGCTGCTTTAGGCCTGCAAAGGGATACAGCTAGTCCTTGATTTATGACTAATTGCTTAGCGACTGGAGTTACAATGGAACCTAAAAAGGGCACTTATGAACTGGATTTGAAATTCCAACTGCCCCCCCACAATTATGTGATTACCTTTTGGGTGCTCATCAACTGGCTTGCATTTACTACTGTTTGCAGCATCCCACGGTCATCTGGCCATGATTTATAAACCCCCCCCCCAAAACAGGTATTTAATGTATTTTTTGGCGTATAAGACACACCTACCTTTTTTGATGAGGAAAAGAAGAAAAAGAAATCTCCCTTTGCTTCTGAGCAATTTTGCCTCCTTGCAGCAAACAGCAAACAGCCTGCTTTACTTTCATTTTCGTTTTCAGCATAGCTTGATTAGCACAAGGGAAAAAAATCTGCTCCAGCCATTTACCTCTTTGCAGCAAGCAGCAGAGCCCTGTGCAAAACAGCTGAGAGCAAATCAGCTGAGAGTCGGGAGGCCGATCTTATCAACTTGTGATAATTAGGTTCTGCTGAAGCTGAAAGCTGTTTTTTCTTGCTGTTTGCTTGCAAGGAGGTAACTGCTGCAAGGCAGAGGCCAAAGGGTGGGGGCCAGTGGGTGGGCGGGGCTACATCCGGTGTATAAAACGCACTTAAATTTTCACCCCCCTTTAGAGGGGAAAAAAGGTGCATTTTATACTCCGAAAAATATGGTAGTTCCAGTTTCTGGCACAAAATGCCCATTGCAATGGGTTCATTTAATGATTGCAGCATTCATTTTACAAAAGAAGGTGCGGTGACATGATGATCTGCTTAACAGCACGACCTACAACCGTAATCCCTGGCTCAATTCCTGTCTTAAATTGAGGACTAGCTGTACAGAAACAGGTGATTTGCAAATAAGAGGCAAGGATAATTCTTTCATTCATAATTACAATATTTTTTCATTTCCTTATTCATCAATTTCCCTTTTTTAAATCTTCCTCCCCCACCTCCCTGCACCCCAACCTACTAGACCGTCCTTTGGTATTAAAGGTAGTCCTCATTTAATCGGGATCCTCAACTTGGTCGTTAAGCAAAACAGTCATTAAGTGAAACGGTGACTGCGTTTATTATCTTGCTTCAGCTTTTTTGCACTTTACGCTCCCCTGAAGGTCGTAAATGTAAGGATTGGTTGCAGAGTTATTTTTTTTAACAGCCGTAACAGCAAGCGGTCTCTAAATAAGGCAGTTGCTAAATGAGGACTACCTTTACGGATTGGAACAAAGCTTAAAATGTGAAGACAAACCAGTTTACCTTCTGTACCTCTGCTCTTAGCTACGAATCCAAAGGAAAATCAGACTCGTCAAGCAACAGTGCAGTGCTTAAACTTGCCAAAGGAGACGAAGTGTGGCTGCGGATGGGCAATGGGGCCCTGCATGGAGACCACCAGCGCTTTTCCACTTTTGCTGGCTTCCTTCTTTTCGAAACCAAGTAGATCTACTCACTGGAAATGCAGTACAACGTCGCTCCTCAGTTTCCCTGCTCTTTGGATCCTCCTGGGAATGCACAGGTAGCCCTCGACTTACAACCGTTCGAAGTTATGACATCAGTGAAAAAAGTGACTTATGACCGTTTTTCACACTTACGATGCTCGAAGCATCTTCATGTGATAATTTGAATAGCTGGCAATTGACTCATATTTATGTCAGCTAATGTCCCGGGATCATGTGATCATCTTTTGCGACCCTCTGACCGGCAAAGTCAATGGGGAAGCCAGATTCACTTAACAACGGTGTCAAGAAAGGTCATAAAATGGGGCAAAACCGGTGGTGGGATTCAGCCAGTTCGCACCTATTTGGGAGAACTGGTTGTTAACTTTCTAAGCAGTTCAGAGAACCGGTTGTTGGAAGAAATCTTATTTTGTTTTTTTTTCCCACTTGACAGGGCTAATCCTGTAAGGAAGGCAGGAAGGAAACATTCTGGTGTTTTTTCTAGCCCAATCTTTATTGCCTTGCTTACAGAAACTACCTCTCTGGTTAACCCTTATTACATTGTAACAGCTAAAGCGAAACATCATTGACATGAGTGACGTTGAGTAGGCTACACCTACATGGTCACATGACCACCAAGCCACACCTACCCAGCTGATCATTAGGGCAGAGAACTGGTTGTTAAATTATTTGAATCCCACCACTGGGCAAAACTTAATAGATGTCTCACTTAGCAACTGAAATTTGGGGCTCAATTGTGGTCGTAAATCGAGGACTACCTGTACTAAAATCCCAGGCTCTGTTTTGACACCAGTATGTTGTTAACTATGAAACGTGGTAAGAAGTTAGGCCTGAATTTATATTATGCCCTTTTAATGACATTGTGCATCTCACTACACATTCTTGCCTTCTTGCTAATAGATACTGAATAGTTACCAAACGCCTACTCCTGGTAATTTTATAGAATGATGATTGAAAAGCCTCTGCCGATCAGGCAACTCAGCTGGGATCGTCAGAGACTTTTCAAAGCATTTTTTACCACCTCTTTGGCCAAGAGGTTGCAGAAAAAAATGCTTTGAATAGCCTCTGACGATCCCAGCTGAGTCGCGCGATCATCAGAGGCTTTTTTTTTTAACCTTTAAAAGCATTTTTTCGTTGGAAGAGGTTGTAGATGATTGTGCGGCTCAGCTGGGCATGGTGGGGGGGGGGGGCACAGGGATTTTTGCTACCTGTTCTCCGAACCACCTGCCGCCATCGCTACCGGATTGGGCGATCCAGTCCGAACTGGGAGCATTTCACCCCTGATATCTATATACTAGCTGCATTTTTTCAGACAGTTTTATGAAAAAAGCAAAAGCTTTCCCAATTAATCCAGTGAATCTTGATTATTGTTAGCAAACAGCACTTAAAATACCAAACAAACAACTGTGAGATTTTTAACTTTTGATTAAAAGTTTAAATAATGCATTTAAATTTTTGAACATGTTTAAACTAGGTAAAATTGAATTGGTTGGCTTCAAACAGGCACAACAATCTCAAAATGTACATGTTTGTGTGTGTATCCTGTGGCAAATGATGTGTACATTTTGCCTTGGCTGAAGATTTGCAGTGGATTTGCTAATTTTCACTTCTGCATTTTTGAAAAATAAATATATCAATTTTAGGGCTGATTTTTATTTTCACCCTGTGTGAAAGTATATTTAGGAAACAAGCTGACTTGGATTTTGGTAAATTACCTATTGGCAGAGTAACAAAGTATAGTCTTTTTGAAGCTGGTAGACTATATATTACTGCAAGACTTTGTCTTTTAAAAACATTAAATACACATTGGTACATTGAATACTTTAGACTTAGCAGGAGTTGCAATCCGTAGTAGATGTCATTAAAAAAAAATGAAGCCTTGTTTGGAATGCACCAAAGAAGTATGTAAACTTTTAAAAGTATATTAGCAAGATGATGGCATGCTTTCAAAATGTAGTTTTACTCTCATCGTCATTTACTAATAATATATTCTGACCCCTGTTCTTACTATGAATGCCTTTTGCCTTTTGTTATTAGAAATGTGTTTCAAGCATCTGGTTATTTTGTACAGAAGACTTACTAATTAAAGACCATTTTGAATAAGTATTTTGCGCACAAAAAGAAAAATACACTGAAGTTCTGTACTTTAGACTGGATTTTTTTGAAAATGATCTTTAGAAATAAAGAGCGGAAGGACGAGACTTTGGCTGTGGGAGACGACTCAACAAACAAACAAACAATAATGCAGTCCATGCAATATACTGCAGTAACAGTGAAATTTGAGCAATCATATACCGTATTTTTCGGAGTATAAGACACTCCGGAGTATAAGATGCACATTAGTTTTTGGGGAGGAAAACAAGAAAAAAAAAATCTGCCTCTGCCTACCATCATCCATCAGAATTCATAAGGCTACCAACCTTGCAGCAAACAGCAAACAGCCTGGTCAGCTTCAGCACGTTATTGCAGCCTGATTCAGCACGAGCAGCTGATTGGCGGTTGGATTGGCCTCCTGGAATACCGCTAATCAGCTGTTCCAGGCTGCAAGGATCACCAGAACCCATCGCTGCCACTCACCACCTCAGCGTGTCACATTTTCGGCCTCTGCGCGTCACATTTTCGGCCTCTGCATGCCCCGCGTGGCCTCCGTGCATCGCATTTTGGCCGGTTGTAGGCGGCGGGGATTGGTGATGGTGGCGATCCCCGCTGCCTGGAACCAGCCAAAAATGCGATGTATGGAGGCCATGCGGGGCATGCAGAGGCCGAAAATGCAACACACAGAGGCAGTGATAGGTGGCAATGTGCTGTGGCGATCCCTGCAGCCTGCAACGGGTATAAAATGGGGCGTGCATAGCAGGGGTGAAATGCTACCGGTTCTGACCGGTTTGGGCGAACCGGTAGTAAAAAATGCTACCAGTTTAGGTGAACTGGTATTTCCGACAATCAGCTGGGTGACGATCAGCTTGTCATGCGATTTATATTAGCTAGAGTTATCGGATTTCCTGCTTTCTAGCTAATCGCAGGGCACAGCAGATTCCCCCCCTCACTGTTCTACTTACCTTTGCAGACTCAGAAGGCTTCAAAATGTTCCTTTTTTAGCGCTGTGCAGGTGCGCCTCAAGTTGGTAGCAGACTCATAGAACCGGTAGCAGACTTCAGAGGATTTCACCCCTGGTGCGGAGGCTGAAAACGTGACACGCGGAGGCCGGTAAAGGCCAAAGGATGGGGGCCAATGGGTGGGGTGGGCTTCGGCAACATTCGGTGTATAAGACACATCACAATTTTCACCCACTTTTAGGGGTGGGGGAGTCTGTTTTATACTCCAAAAAGTATGGTAATTTATATCTTATATGATTTTTATCTCCTGGATGCAGCAGAGGCAGGGTGGGGGTATTTTGACATGCCATATTTTGTTCAGTAGCAAATATCTTTGTGATTATTGCTTGATTATTGGAGTCATTTTAAAGCTACCTCAATCTCTGCCATAACTGGTATTCACACATCCTTGATCCAGGGGTGAAATGCTCCTGGTTCGGACCGGATCACCTGATCCGATAGCAATGGAGGCAGGTGGTTCGGAGAACCGATAGCAAAAATCCCTGCCCCCCCCATTGCCCAGCTGAGCCGCGCAATCATCAGAGGCTTTTTTTTATTTTTAAAAGCATTTTTTCTACAAAATCTTTGGCCGAAAAAATGCTTTTAAAAGTAAAAAAAAAAAGCCTCTTGTGATTGCGCAGATCAGCTGGGATCATCAGAGGCTTTTAAAAGCATTTTTTCTATAACCTCTTCAGCCGAAGAGGTTATAGAAAAAATGTTTTTAAAAGGAAAAAAAGCCTCTGCTGATCAGGCAAGTCAGCTGGGATCGTCAGAGACTTTAAAAGCATTTTTTTACAACTGCTTCAGCCAAAGAGGTTGTAGAAAAAATGGTTTTAAAAGTAAAAGTAAAAAAAAAAAAGTTGGCCACGCCCGCTCAGTCATATTACCCCCACACACACCAAGCCACGCCCACAGAACCGGTAGTAACAAATTTTACATTTCACCACTGCCTTGATCCCAAATCTTACAGAACACAATGATTTGATCTTACTTGTAATGACTTTATCTTCTAATGTTGCATAATTATAGCTTAATATGAACATATCTACACACCTGATCTTTAGATGACAAATTTGCACTATTGAAATTATACTAAGCACATTTTTGTTACTTTCTTTTGTTCGTAGCATGAACTAGCATATCCCAACTTCAACATGACTCCCAGTTCTGTAAATGAACAAGTCAGAATTTTACAACTTGTCACTTAATGACTGTTTAAAGTTATGATGAACCCCCTAAAAGATATTTACAACCTGTATTTTAAATTCTAATAGTGGCCCCCACCTCTGTGATCAAATTTTGGGTGCTTGGCAACCAGCTTGCATTTACAACTGTTCTGAGGTCATGTGACCATGATTACATTTTTCACAGTCAGTTTACAACAGTTCATTTAGCGAACATTCAAAGTTACAACTGCACTGAAAAAAGTGAGATGACTATTTTTCACTTATGACTGCTGCAGCATTTCCATGGTCATATGTTCAGATACTTAGCAACTGACTCATATTTGTGACGGTTGCAGGGTCCTGGGAATCACATGGTCAGACCTTCTCAGAAGCAAAGTCAATGGAGAAGCCAGATTCACTTAACAACCGTGTCACTAATTTAACAACTGCACTGATTCACTTAACAACTGTGGCAGGAAAGGTTGTAAAATAGGGCAAAATTCACTCAACAAATTATCATTTAGCAACAAAAAATGTGGGCTCTATTGTAAGACCAAAGGACTACCTGTATTTACCCTAGTAAAAATTGCAATTGACACATTTGCTGCCACAACTGCTTCTCGTGATTTTTTGATGAGATTTTAATATTGTATTACTTTTTCAGCATAAACTGAGCTGATAATTTTGATTTTGCAGTTCCCTGAAAGTGTTTTGGGGAACATTCAGGGTTCCTTGGACCATGCTTTCAAAAAACACAAATTAAAGTGAAGAGAAAGAGCAGGGGACTCATGATAGTAGTCTTCCAATATTTGAGGGGCTGCCACAGAGAGGAAGGGGACAAGCTATTTTCTAAAGCATCTCAAGGACAGACAAGGAATAATGGATGGAAACTGACCAAGGAGAGATTCAACCTAGAGATGAGGAGGAACTTTCTGACAGTGAGAACAATCAACCAATGGAACAGAAGTTGCCTTCGGAAGTTGTGGGAGCTTCATCACTTGAGACTTTCAAGAAGAGATTGGACTGCCATTTGTCAGAAATGGTGTAGGGTCTCCTGCTTGGGCAGGGGGTTGGACTAGATGACCTACAAGGTCCCTTCCAACTCTGTTAATCTGTAATCTGAATTAAAAGCATGGTGATTAATTACAACATCTATTTCCCAGATCAAAAGAATGAAACAGTGGGCATGGAGTAGGTGTACTTCTTTATCAAAATGTCATTCCGAGCATGAGATATCTTCTGAGTATCAACTTTCTTTCCTAATATATGTTTACATTATAAGAGCAAAATCTTTGGACAAACTAAGCCAAACTAGTTTGTCCCCTTTTGAAACAAAAATGTTATGGTGAATATGATGAAACTTGCCGAGATGTTCAAACTGACTTTGATCAGCTAAAAGACATGATCTACATTTCGTGCTGACTGGAAATCGTTATAGACATTTTGAACGAAACAAAAAAAAATGAAATTATGATATATAGTTTGATGGTTAGAAAAAAACATGATTACAGAAAAATGTTGTGCTATAACCACAGGATAAGAGGCTAATTTATATACTTATAGTGGCTATAAATAAAATCAGAACTATGTCTTCATATTTTCTTTTCCCCCCCTGCACTTGTGTCTTTCTCTTCTTTCTTTTTTCTAAATATTTCATTTTTTTCAAAACCTACCTTTGATTACGTCATAGATGATAAAACCCGGAGAACATGTAGTATTCCTTCCTCCTCGTACTTCAAATATTTAAACTACTAAATCGAAACATTATGTACAATTTTAAAAAATACCTACATTCTAAATATTCGTTTGTTATTTTTTAATCTTAAAACATTAATAAAGTTATTAAACTTTATGAATAGAATAGAATAGAATAGAACAGAATAGAATAGAATAGAACAGAACAGATTGCCGCTCGCCCAATATTGAAAAACTGATCAACTGCCAACGGATCAATTGATAATCCAAAAAATCTATAACTGCGCGGAAATGGACAAACTTAACATTTGAAATGAAGGACAAGGTAGACTCAAAATGTTATATACCGTGGAATAGGTGGTATGATTGGATAACTTGCAGAAATGAGAGTAAATGTAAAATTCTGTATGACAATAATAATTAACAAATATGCACCGTTAATAAGATCATGGATGTGACCAAAGTCACTTTTTCTTTTTATGTATTGTCGACTGTATTAATATATATGTATCTTGTATATACATGGTATAATATTTTACTTTTTATATCTTTAATAAAGTTAAACAGGGGTGTTTTAATCAGTATGGGCCAAATCTATTTAATGTGTTTTAAATTGTTTTTTAAATTTTATATTATATGTGTTTTATCTTTGGCTGTTCACCGCCCTGAGTCCTTCGGGAGTAGGGCGGTATATAAATCCAAAATAAACTAAAATAAAAAACTAAAAAGTTTTGTTTTTAAAATAAAAAGAATAGAATAGAATAGAATAGAATAGAATAGAATAGAATAGAATTTTTATTGGCCAAGGGTGATTGGACACACAAGGAATTTGTCTTTGGTGCATACGCTCTCATGTACATAAAAGTTTTTTTCTTTGTTCAAGCGGGAAAAAAAATGTTCAAATTAAATAGTTAAATAGTTCTGTGGAGGGGGGAGTTCGAGGGGGTTGCAAGGCCAGGAGAGCTGCAGCGGCAAGAAAGCTCGGGGCCAAACGAGCAATGATGTGGCCGCCGGGAGGTCCGCATCTGCCCGGATCTCTCGAAGCCGAGAGCTCGCCAGGAGGAGGCGCCCGGGCTGGAGGCGGCGGCAATGGCGCCAGCCCTCCATTTCCTCCCAGCCAGTCCGGCCTTCTTTCTCTCCGCCCTGCGCCGTTTCTAAAGCTCAGTCCGCGATGGCGCTGCAGGGAGT